TTTTTTTTTTTTTACATTTTGGGTATTCTACTAGCCTCTGTGACAGGCAGAGTGGACAGTGAGAGAGAGAGACAGAGAGAAAGGTCTTCCTTTGCCGTTGGTTCACCCTCCAATGGCCGCCGCGGCCGGCGCGCTGCGGCCGGCGCACCGCGCTGATCCGATGGCAGGAGCCAGGAGCCAGGTGCTTTTTTTTTTTCCTGGTCTCCCATGGGGTGCAGGGCCCAAGCACCTGGGCCATCCTCCACTGCACTCCCTGGCCACAGCAGAGGGCTGGCCTGGAAGAGGGACAACCGGGACAGAATCCGGCGCCCCGACTGGGACTAGAACCCGGTGTGCCGGCGCCACAAGGCGGAGGATTAGCCCAGTGAGCCGCGGCGCCGGCCTCTCCTGCAATATTTTTATAAAATTTCTGTCTCCCTTGATATATTAAGGGTGGTTCTCAGTTTAAATTTATTGAAAATGTGTCCTACTTTGTTTTGTTCATTTTGAAGTAATTAGCTTAGCCTAGTATGAGGAGTCAGGTTAATAGGCAGCCAGGTTGGTCCAGTGGGAAATTTAGGGTGCAAAATGCTTTCTTCCCCCCAAAGTTATCTTTTGCAAGGTGAAGAGCACCTGCCCTACTCCTTGGGAGGTTACAGTCTTATCATAAGGGTAGCAAGGGAGTGGTGACTCTACCCTCTGAGCTCCCAGTTTACTGTAAAACAAAGAGCTCTTCTAATGGCTCTTGTTTTATCATGAGCAAGCCAGACAGGATAAAAAGATTACACATCAGGTCTCTTGATGGGTTTGTCCCCGCCTTGTACTGATTGACAGTTTCTTCCTCAAAACTGTACTTAGAAATCCCACTATCACCACCCCTTTGGGTATTGCTTTTGTTGGAGCCCCCCTCCAGGCCACTCTGGCTGGAGGTCTCTGACTTAAATAAATCTTGCTTTTAAAACATCTTGCTTTTTTTCTTTGCCTTGTCTGCTTGGAAATTTTTCTTCCATGTGAGACCAAGAACAGAGGTAATCTTTTCTCGGCCGTTTCACAGGTAACACTAGGATCAGAGGTACAATTTAAACATCTCCACGGTCTTTGACTATTTACTCTTCAAACATGGCAGCTTGGATTCTTCCACGCCCGTCACTGGTGGAAAGGTTCCTGTGAATGAATCCCCAGGCCACCGTGGCTATGGAGAGCTCCTGGTGGCTCAAGTGAATCTTCATATACCCAAGCTTCTGCTATAGGCTCTTTTTCTTCTTCCAGGATTTTAAACTATCAACCTTTTATCTTTATAAAAACTTTTCCTCAAGTTTCCTCTAAGGCAAGGATTCTCAGCCTAAGCGCTGGACATTTTGGGCCAGGTCAGTCTTTGCTGGAGATGGGAGAGTGACTTTTTTTTTAAAACTTTTATTTAATAAATATAAATTTCCAAAGTACAACTCTTGGATTATAGTGGCTTTTTCCCCCCATAACCTTCCTCCCACCTGTAACCCTCCCATCTCCAGTTCCCTCTCCCATCTCATTCACATCAAGATTCATTTTTGGCCGGCGTCGCGGCTCACTAGGCTAATCTTCCACCTTGCGGCACTGGCACCCCGGGTTCTGGTCCCGGTCGGGGCGCCGGATTCTGTCGGATTCTGTCCCGGTTGCTTCTCTTCCAGTCCAGCTCTCTGCTGTGGCCCGGGAAGGCAGTGGAGGATGGCCCAAGTGCTTGGGCCCTGCACCCGCATGGGAGACCAGGAGGAAGCCCCTGGCTCCTGACTTCAGACCGGCGCAGCGCCGGCCATAGCGGCCATTAGGGGAGTGAACCAATGGAAGGAAGACCTTTCTCTCTGTCTGTCTCTCACTGTCCATAACTCTAAAAAACTATAATAGCTAATGTTTGGAATCAGTCTAAGGATAAAAAGGTACCCAATGAAAAAAAAACAAGAAAAAAATTACTTACAGAGCATCCTTCTGTTAATACAACTTACAGAAAACATAGACTTTGTAATCATCCAGAAATTCAAGTGGAAAATGAATCGTGTGTCTTCCTTTGTACAGATAAGGCTAGAAAGGCATGCACTTGAACAAGTCTGTCCGTTTCTGATATTTCAGAGCTATCTCAATATGATCAGATGTGCATTTTTTTTTTTAAGATTTATTTATTGGGGTCGGCGCTGTGGCGCAGCGGGTTAACGCACTGGCCTGAAGCGCCGGCATCCCATAAGGGTGCCAGTTCGAGACCCAGCTATTCCTCTTCCAATCCAGTTCTCTGCTATGGCCTGGGTCCTTGGGCCCCTGCACCAACGTGGGAGACCAGGAAGAAGCTCCTGGCTCCTGGCTTCAGATCGGCGCAGCTCTGGCTGTTGCAGCCAATTGGCTTCTGATCTGAAGCCAGGAGTCAGGGACTTTTTACGGGTCTCCCACGCAGGTGCAGGGGCCCAAGGTCTTGAGCCACCATCTACTGCTTTATCAGGCCATAGTAGAGAGCTGGATTGGAAGTGGAGCAGCCAGGACTTGAACCGGCACTCATGTGGGATGCCAGCACTGCAGGCGGCGGCTTTACCTGCTACGCCACAGCGCCGACCACCACAGGTGCTTTTAAAAATGTAGAAAACAGTGGTGGGCTTTTGGTTTAGCAGTCACTATTTCTCTTGGTGTGCAGACATTACATACTACCCATGTCCCAGCTCTGCTCCTGGTTGCGGCTTCCTGCTGCTACACACCATGGGAGGTAGTGTGGGGAGCAACTCGGACTATACTGTTACTGGAATTAAGACTTATTCTATGCATCTGCTCTCCCACAATATGGCGCTGGGAGAGAAGAAAACAGCTTCTACACAGCTGCCTCCAGTTCAGCCAATAAACTGTAGGACTTGCTCCTGATTGGAGGAGAGCAGCGTACTCGGCGTGTGGGCAGCCGAGTTAGGATTGGCAGAGGAGGACTATAAAGGAGGAGAGAGACGGCAT